CCTAAAAAGGCCTTATCGGGCCTGGCGGGGCAGAGCGTGCTCGGCACAATCATCTCTGGCAGAGCAATCCTCAAAACCCCTCAGTTTGAGGGGTTCCAGTCCTTTGGGACACCCCAGAGGGTTCACTTTTGGTTCTGCCCCTCACTTTGAGGGGTTTCAGCCCCTTTGGGACCCCCCAGAGGCTTCACTTTTCCACCGGTAGAGCACCCGGGGGGGGGGGGGGTTGGAGGGGCAGCTCTTGCCCCACCCTCAACCCCCCCCAAAAAAAAATGTGATTTGGAAGGGGATAAGGAGAGAAATCCCAGCTGTTGGCACCTGGAATTCCTGGCACTTCTGCCCCCCCACCCTGTGGCCTGTTCTGCCCCCCTGGGCGTGTGGTGGGGACGGGAGTCGGGGGGAGATTTTTGACCCTCTGCTCCTTTTCCCCCCCCAACCCCACCATCCAAAAAGGGTTGAAAGCCCCTTCTGAAGGACCAGGAGGCGGCTCCAGGAGATTTCCCACCCCTTGGGACGTTCCCAGGGCCGGGCATCCCAAACCCTGCCCGTCTCACCCACCTTCTTGAGCACCACGAACTCGTTCTCGGCCGCCGTGCGCCGGTTGATCTCCTCCTCATACCTGGGGTGGGGAGGGAAAGGGTGGTCATATCCCACCCTTGGGGGAGCAGAACAGGTGCCCAGGGAGGGCTGAGAGGGGATTTGGGCGTCCCCAAATCAACCTGCAGGCTCAGAGGTGTGAAAATCCCTTTTTTTTTTTCAAAGGGTATTTTCGATCCGACGCTGGAGGGACAGGGAGTTTGAGGGGGTTTGGGGGGGATTTCTCTCTGCAGGTGCCACCACAGGGTGTTGTGTCCTTTTCCTGATGGGAAAAACATCCCTGGACCCCTTTCTGGGGGTCCTCCAGGGGGGGAAACTCAGAGCAGCGGAGCTTTGGAGGGATTGATGAGCACAAAGTGGAGATGCTTTTCCCTCTTCTCCATAGAAACTTCCACGAGTATCCCACATTTGCCTTCCAGAAATGCACATTTCTGGGATCAACCACAGAATCAGAGAGAGAAAAATCTGCTGAGCTGGAAGGGAAGATCACCCACTAATCCCATTAATCCCATTAACCCCCAAAATCCCAACCCCTGAGGGCGGGTGCTCCAAACGGGGCAAAAGGGGGCTGTGACCAAACCCCGAGTGGGAGCCTTTCCACCCCATTTGGGGGGGTCAAAACTCCTTCATCCCGAGCCATTCCCACACCCACTTGTTCTTGAAATCCTCCACCAGGTCCTGCACGTTCCTCAGCTCGCCGTCCAGCCGGCCCCGCTCGCCCAGCAGGTTGCCCAGCTGCCTCCTCAGGTTGCCCAGGTAGGCCTCGAACAGGGGGTCGAGGCTGGTCTTGCCCGAGCTGCCCTTCTGGCCCTGCTCCTGCAGGAGGGCCCACTTGGTCTCCAGCACCTTGTTCTGCTGCTCCAGGAACCGCACCTGGGGGAGTTCAGGGGGAGAGGTTGGAGCGATCGTCGCGTCATCCCCGGGGACAAAGGGGTTAAATCCGGCCGGGAACACCCCCCTGGATCAGCCGGGGCTGTGCCGGCCCCTCCTGCCCCTGAGCAAACCCACCCCTCGGGGGGCGGATCTCTGAGTTTGGGGAGCCGAAGAGCAGCGATTCTAAACTGAGGGTTCAGCTCCTTCCCCGCTGGTTTTCCTTTCAACATCCATAAAAAATGAGGGTTCGGTTCTTTCCTCCCTCGTTTTCCTTTAACATCCTTAAAAAATAAGGATTCAGCTCTTTCCCCACTGGCTGTTCTTTAACACAAAATGAGGGTTCAGCTCTTTCCCCGCTGTTTTTTTCTTTAATATCTTTAGAAAATGAGGGCTCAGGTCCTTCCCCACCGGCTGTTCTTTAACATCCTTTGGGTTTTGGTTTTGTTTTGTTTTGGTTTTGTTTTTTTTTCCTCCTGGGAAGATTTTTATCTTCCTTTTCCCCAAACCCAAGAGCCCCCCGAGCGCCACAGCGAGACGACTTCCCCGCCTTTCCCTTTGCCCCCACGTGCTCCAGATTTTATCCAGTGAAACCCCAAGGCTCAAGTCGAGCCCGTATATGAAAGGATCCGATCTCGCGACAAGACCGACCCACCCGTGATTCCCCCGGGGGAGGGGGGGGTTCACCTTGTCGATGAAGGAGGCGAACTTGTTGTTGAGCGTCTTGATCTGCTCCTTCTCGTCCTTGCGCACCTGGTGGATGCTGGGGTCGATCTCCAGGTTGAGGGGGGCCAGCAGGCTCTGGTTCACCGTCACCTCCTGGATGGTGCCCACCCCGGAGGGGCCTCCGGCGAACCCCGCCGGGCTCCTGCCCGGCCCCAGCCCCGCGGGGAACCCGCCGAGCCCCCCAAAACCGAATCCCCCTCCTCCTCCTCCTCCTGGTCCTCCTCCGGCGTGCCCGCCCCCAAAACCCAAACCAGAGAAGCCGAATCCTCCTCCTGCTCCGCCGAGCCCGAGCCCCAGCCCGGCACCGGCCCCTCCGCTGCCAAACCCTCCTCCTCCTCCTCCTCCTCCTCCTCCTCCTGCTCGAGCCAGGGACGCGGAGCCGAACCCAGCCCTGCTGCTGCTGCTGCTGCTGCTGCTGGGCACGATGGCCGAGGCAGCGCTGTAGGATCGGCCCGCGGGCCCTGCCCTGGCGCTGAAGGTTCTGTTCATGGCACCGGGGAGGGGGGGGACAGACAATCGGCCCCCTCTGCGGGGCAACCAGAGCGGCCCCGGCCCTTTTATCCCTCCCCAGCGGCGGAGCTTGGGGCTGGGCCGGCCTGGAAGTGCAGCGATCAACTCGCTGCCTTCATGGTTTTGACGTGACCCTCCCGCTCCCTTCCTTTCCCTTCCCGTCCCCCGAGGGGCCAGGTGTCTCCCTGAAACTCGGACACGCCCGTGGGGGGGATGATGTGCTCGGCTGGAAGGGGTTACCTAACGCCAGGATTTTGGGGCAGGCACGGCCCAGCCCCGGGCGCAGAACCCTGGGCAGAGGTTTGGGGAGGGTTGGGGTGGTTTATCCAGAACCCTGGAAGGGGCTCAGGTGCCGGGTTGGAGCGGCCTGGGAGGGTGGAAGGTGTCCCTGGTCCAGAGAAAGGTGTCCCTGATCCAATAAAAGGTGTCCCTGATCCAA